TGAGTACTAGTTATAGCATTAATTAACACCTAAGAGTAATCTGTGTATTAATTACAGAGCTCAACCAATAGTTTTAAGTAGAATATAAATTGCATCTTTTGCATTGGTGTGGCTTCCCCCTGACCTCCCTCCCTCCCTCCCCTGGGCCTCCCCTTAACCAATTTCTTCTCCCTTCCCCCCCCTCATCACGGTTTCATTTCCGTTAACCTTCATATACTGAAGATCAATTTAGTATATACTAAGCAGGGATTTCAACAGGTTGCACTCACACAACCGAACCAGGTATAGGGTATTGTTCGACTAGTAGTGTTGTTTTTGAGTTTCATAGATAAACATATTAAGGACAGAGATCCTGCGAGGGGAGCATGAACCCAGTGACTCCCGTTGTTGATTTAACAATTGGCACTCTTATTTATGACGTCAGCAATCACCCGAGGCTCTTGCTATGAGCTGTCTAGGCTATGGAAGCCCCTTGAGTTCACCAACTCTGAATTTGTTTAGTCAAGGCCATATCACAGTGGAGGTTCCTTCCTCCCTTCAGAGAAAGGCGCCTCTCTCCTTGATGGCCTGATCCTTCTGCTGGAGTGTTGTTCACCAGGATCCTTCATTTAGATTGTTTTTTGCCACCATGTCATGGCTTTCCATGCCTGAGAGACTCTCATGGACCTTTTAGTCAGATCCGAATGTCCCAAGGGTTGATTCTGAGACAGGAGTGCTGTTTTGGGCATTTGCCATTCTATGAAAAGACCCATAAATAATAACCAGGAACTCAGAGGGACAAGTTCATAGTCTTTGTGGTAGCTTTTAAAAATCATATTAATTTTTTAGATTTAATAATTTTGAATATTTTGTCATATCCACTTTATAAGTAGATTTTTTAAAGATTTATTTATTTATTTGAAAGGCAGAGTTACAAAGAGCAAGGGAGAGACAGAGAGATCCTTCATCTACTAGTTCATTTCCCAAATGGCCGCAATGGCCAGGGCTGGACCAGGACGAAGCTGGGAGCTTCATCTGGGTTTCCCACATGGGTGCAGGGGCCCAAGCACTTGGCCATCTTCCACTGCTTTCCCAGGCCATAGCAGAGAGCTGGATCGGAAGTGGAGCAGCTGGGACTCTAACTGGTGCCCATTTGGGATGCTGGCATTGCATGTGCCGGCTTAACCCACTACTCCACCACATAGCACCCATATGTAGACATTAAATACACACACACACACACACACACACACAGGTGTGCTGTTTTTCTTTAAATTGGGGATGGTAATATCACATACTATATATATATATATTATATATAATCATGACAAGATTATAAAGTGGGAAGGAAGGGTATTTCACTATGTAGGGGACTTGAGCCAGTGAAGACTATTGACTGTCTATATGCCAAATAATATGACAGCCCTGCATTGCTTATGCTCTCTCTGTCCGTCTTAACTTCCACAGAGGGGAGAAAACACGGAATTTGTCTTTCCGTGTCTGGCTTATTTCACTTAGCATAATCTCCACTTCCATCCATCAGGACTTCATTCTTTTTTACGGCTGAGTAGTATTCCATCATGTGTATGTACCACATTTTCTTTATCCGTTCATCAGGAGACAGACATCTCGGTTAATTCCATCTCCTTGATATTGTGAATTTGGCTACATAAATATGGGGTGTGGGTATCTCTTTCATCTGCTGACTTCATTTTCTTTGCATATATTCCCAGAAGTGGGGAAACAGGGTTATAGGATATATCCATGTTTAGTTTTTTGAGGAATCTCCATATTGTTGTACTAATTTGCATTCCTTGGTGGAGGAAGGTTAAACTGCATGTACACATTCATTGGCAATTACATTTTTAAAGGTATTTTTTAAAAGTGGCCACAGAATATTTAAGTTTGGTCCTTAAATCATAAATATTTTATTTAAGCTTTTGCTAATTAATGCATTTACCAAAATGGGAAAAGTCGGGGCCGGTGCCGTGGCTCACTTGGTTAATCCTCCACCTGCAGCGCCAGCATCCCATATGGGCACCAGGTTCTAGTCTCGGTTGCTCCTCTTCCAGTCCAGCTCTCTGCTGTGGCCCGGGAGGGCAGTGGAGGATGGCCCAGGTGCTTGGGCTGCTGCACTCGCATGGGAGACCAGGAGGAGGCACCTGGCTGCCAGCTTCGGATCGACGCAGCGCGCTGGCTGTAGCGGCCATTTGGGGGGTGAACTAACGGAAGGAAGACCTTTCTCTCTCTCTCTCTCTCTCTCTCTCTCACTGTCTAACTCTGCCTTTCAAATAAAAAAAAAAAGGATTTAAGAAAAAAAATGGGAAAAGTCATCAAAATTTTCATGTTACCATAAATCAAATTCTGTGTGTCACTCAGTCCTCTTAGTTCACATGGTTGAACCATGACATGGGAGCCATGTGGGAACCATGATGTTGGAGCTATGTGGCATGCATGGTGTAGGAGCTACATGGTGCCCATGGTGTGGGAGCCATGAGGGACCCATGATGTGGAAGCTACGTGGCGTCCATGGTGTGGGAGCTATGTGGCATCCATGGCGTGGGTCTACCTCTTAGAATCCATCACTGAAGTAAAGAAATGTTATATTTCATAGTTTCTGACACACACTACCCCCTCCCCCGACATTTTAACATCTCTGAAATTTCAATGGATTTTTCAAAGTTCCAAGAAAACATTGAGTCACATTTGAATTGACAAGAATCTTTCTTACTGATACATAAAAGAAAGGCACATTGCTGTCTTAAGAATTCATGAAATAGAGTAGTATTTTACAGAGTGCCTAATAAAATTATGTGAAAATGTTAGACTATAATTATGAATTATTATTTGAAAAGAGCTGATAATTCAGTGTCATCAGAGGCTCATTGTCTGACGACTGAGAGTTATATAAACATTAAAGCTTTGTAGCTGAAAATGTGACCCTACGGAGCCTGGGCACTTTGATTCTTTCTACAGTACATGTTTGCCCTCAGCTGTTTCAGAATGAACGGAAGTTCACGTGTCTTCTTCAGAAGGGCTTCCAAAGTTTTGGAAAACATTAGTGTCTGCACTTGTGAAAAGAGAAAATCGTTAGATTTCATTTTTTACTGCGTGCTTTTGGCCTCCAAGTTAGCGTGAGGATGGCAAAGCAGAGGTTAATCCTGTGGTTCGGCTGGGCACCGCTGCAGGTGCTTGGAAAAGTACCCAGGGGTTAAAAGAATAATGCAGCCATCTCCAGGTGCTGGGAACACTGGCTGATACAGCATGCACTTCAGAATGGCTAACAAAATGTTTGTGCACAAAAACGACATAGAAATTCCTATAGAAGTATTTATTGTAGTCATTAATGACTTACTTATCAACTGCATTGCACTGAACATCTTCTTTTCTTGTTTTGTAGGGTGGATCTACGACATCACACAAAAATATGATTTTTCCTTCTATATATGTGGTTTGCTTTACATGATAGGAATACTCTTTTTACTCATTCAACCATGTATTCAAATTATAGAACAATCCAGAAGGAAATACATGCACGGTGCCCATGCTGAATGTCCTTAACGTTTCCTGTTGCATTTCACTGTTGTGCTCATGCCTACCTCACATGGCTGCGCTGAGGCGCCTGGGACGTAGGTGGGAAATCATTTTGTCCAGTAACTGGTGCTGTCACTTGTCAATGCCGTTGTCACTGCTTCATTCGTACGCAGCACTGCCTGTGTGGGGAGAGGCAGCGCTGGAGAGGGAGCAAGGACTACGTGCATTTTAGAGATGACAATGCCCCTTGGTGACAGCCTCTGGAGTACTTGGAAGACATGCCCTTGGGAAAACCATTCTCTCTTGTCACCCACTGGGACCAGGGTTTCAGATGCAGCTTTTTTATTCCAGAGACAGGGAATGAAAACTTCAACTCAACTACTCCTTTGTGAGGTGGAACCTAAGTCTCTATGCTTCCAGAAAGCTATGGATGAACGGGTTTCAAGCACAAGAATGTGACTAGGTTTTGGAAATTATGTATTACAGGGAGCTATTGATCTACCAGTATAAAACAAAGGCAGGCTCCAATGTCAAAGATAATATCATTCAGTACAATTAGAAAGACACAGTTTATATTTTTATGAAAGGATTCTGCAAGTAGTGAGTACAATTTATGAATCTTCCTCTAAGAGAAGGCATTTGCCATCAATCCTCATTCAATATGATCCAGTTAAGAACTGAATCTGAAGACAAAATCCAAACAAATAAATCATACTAATGAGTTCCTTAGCGGAAGCCATATTTGTACTCAAATCCATGAATCAAGGGCTACGACTCCAGCACTTCCGCTCGCCTCCCTCAGCCTGTCTTAGCTTCTGAGCATGATCTGGGATCTCTCACAGCGTTTCGCTGAGTTTCTCTTGCTGATAGCTGCTGACTGACGTATGATTTCAGAGGTTAAATCACTTATAAAGCATGTTGCTCATCCAAACCCAAGACTATGAAGTTACGAGGCTGATGAAGGGAAGATGCTGGTGCACCTGACATTGGCAGGGGTGGGCAGGTAACAGACGGCCCCCTCCAAGGTCTCTTCTTCCTTAGACCATTCCTGTGCCTGAGCTTGGCACAGTTCGAAAAATAGTTCATATAGCAGAGGACAGTGATCCCAGACACCCCATAAATGCCCCTCCTTTATCCGAGATGTCTATTTTTCTAAGCCAAACATTTTTCAGACTGCAGAATATTCTTCCCAGAACCACTCCGAAATTTCCGGCTGCCTTACTTATTGACACATACTTTAAACTCTTTAAATTTCTACTCAGAGTTATTACACACACACACACACACACACACACACACTTGTTTAATACCCTTGTTAGTGTCCTGGGTCAAATTTACCTAAAGTGCAAAGAGCCCAGCCTCAATTATCCCTGGTGATTGGAGGCAGGAATACTGGGAGGAGCGGCGTCAGAGAGTGCTACCCCAAGCCTACTTCTAGCCAGCAGTTTCAGACACACTGGAGTTTGCCAAGCCCTCCTGGGCTACTGACAAGTGATTAAATGGACAAGTTTCCTTTCGCTTCTTCTCCATTGTTCCCTACTGCATGTCTACTGGGCGGGGTTACGTAAAGAACGCATCACCAAAGTAATAATAAGGCAGCTAACGGAAAAGAGACACAATGCAAATGCGCGTCCTCCCTGTCACCTCCAGGGAACCTAGAATCACCTGTGAATTGTTATAGATACTCAGTCGCATGTCACACTCCACTGGGTTCAACCCAACGACCTACTTGGTGTCATCATAGCTTTGACTGCTGTTAAAGAATTCAACTCTACTTTAGTAAAAGTCATCCTAAAAGCTGAGGCAATGCTACCTACACTTAACCTTGTAATCGGGATGGTCCAGCTGGAAACCACACTAGGTGTCTTAAAACTGGCTACGTTACTTCATTGCGTTCATTTTTCTGACAACACCAAGTTGAGCAGAAGCAGTGTTAAAGTGTTAGGAGTGGTGCTGCTGCTGGTGCGTGTGGATGCACACATTGCTGGCTGAACATGCTAAATACTAACTCTTCATCCAATGGCCTGGCTTGAAGGACAACCCACTTCACAGCTTCTCAGCAGTTCGTACAGGTGTTTGTTGACTGACTCTTTATGGAAATGGTGACTTCTACTGAATCCGTAGAAGTCTCTGTTTTACAGAAAGGAGTAAGACCTGCTTGCAATGTTCATGTTGACGAGAGAATGAAAGAAAATGCCCCGAAGAATCACAGCAAATATTTCCTGCTTGTGTTACCAATTCACGGTTCTTTGGAGATTCCATAAAGGATTAATTGTGTGTTTCTATCATGTGCTTCACGGTTCTCCCCTCATTTGTCCACTGATTTTTATTTACATGCAATCAAATAAATTGTGTCCTCTTTAAAAGTGGCCAGTGAGTGAGGTTTTTTTTCTTTTTTTATATAAAAATCTTGGGGCCGGCACTGTGGCGTAGCAGGTAAAGCTGCCGGCTGCTGTGCTGCCATCCCATATGGGTGTCAGTTCGAGTCCCGGCTGCTCCACTTCCC